GCTGTAGATCACGATCTGATGAAGCCAATAAGACCACATCATCTGCAAAAAGCAGAGATGCAATTCTGAGGCCACCAGAACGGATCCCCTGACATACTGACATACAGTTTGACATAAATGACTAAAAATATGACATAATTGACATAAAGTTTGACATAATTGACAAAACGTTTGACATAATTGACATAGTTTGACATAATTGACAAAAAGTTTGACATAATTGACAAAAAGTTTGACATAATTGACATAAAGTTTGACATAATTGACAACAAGTTTGACATAATTGACAAAGTTTGACATAACTGACATAAAGTTTGACATAACTGACATAAAGTTTGACATAATTGACAAAAAGTTTGACATAATTGACAAAAAGTTTGATATCATTGACATAGTTTGACATAATTGACATAAAGTTTGACATAATTGACAAAAAGTTTGACATAGTTGACATAAAGTTTGACATAATTGGCATAAAGTTTGACATAACTGACAAAAAGTTTGACATAATTGACATAAAGTTTGACATAAAGTTTGACATAAAAGAGAAAAGTTTGACATAACTGACTTAAGTTTGACATAATCAACCAAAAATTTGACATAATTGACATAACGTTTGACATAATTGACATAAAGTTTGACATAATTGACATAAAGTTTGACATAATTGACAAAAAGTTTGACATAGTTGACATAAAGTTTGACATAATTGACAAAGATTGACATAACTGACATAAAGTTTGACGTAATTGACAAAAAGTTTGACATAATTGACATAGTTTGATATAATTGACAAAAAGTTTGACATAATTGACAAAAAGTTTGACATAATTGACAAAAAGTTTGACATAATTGACATAAAGTTTGACATAATTGACAACAAGTTTGACATAATTGACAAAGTTTGACATAACTGACATAAAGTTTGACATAACTGACATAAAGTTTGACATAATTGACAAAAAGTTTGACATAATTGACAAAAGTTTGACATCATTGACATAGTTTGACATAATTGACATAAAGTTTGACATAATTGACAAAAAGTTTGACATAATTGACAAATAATTGTGACCATGTTCCACAAATAAGAGGACAATAAGTTGATCAACATCTACAAGCTGAAGTTCCATCACTGTACTTCTTGCTTTCATTCACTGACTACAATTTAAATTCAGATTTGATAAAAAGAAAAAAGAAAAGTCCTTCTTTTATTGATATTTGCATATGTAGCTACAATAAAACTGCTGAAAACAACAACTGTTTCAATTCAATTCAATTTATTTATAAAGTGCCAAGTCACAACAGAAGTCGTCTCAGGACACTGAACAGAAACATTTATATATAAAAATAATAATCTAACATTATTTATCTGAGGAGCAGACTGCTTTGAATTTAACTCCATTGCAGAACTCTCATCTTGAGCAAACATGAAGGCGACATTCATTTGTTGAAACAAGTCTTTTCATGGCCTCTATGTCATTTTTATTTTTGTTCGTCTGTTTGTGTGTTTGGTTTAAAATGGTTAGCTGTGTCACCATGAAAAGCGGGTGATAATGTAATTGCCTTTGTGTATGTGCGTGCGTGTGTGTCTTCATGACTAAATATTAAATACCCACTAAAGCACTGGATGGATTTTAATGAAACTACATTTTAACAGTCAAGTGAGGAGTGTCTCTGCTGTATGACGGCCATGTTGGAGAAAAGCTCGTAGCTACAACTGATTGAAAACAGCACAAAAATCATAGAATCTGTCATATTTGTTCTTTTGCTTGATGAGTGGCAGATCAGTCCATGTGACCATTTGAACTGGACAGTGCTGAAATGTTACACAGTGGTCTGGTGGAGGATGAATGGGGTTCTCTTTGGCATCACATGGATTGCCAAGTTTGTGTATATCATTTTACGTGAGACAAACATGGCGTCAAGATGCATTCGAAGAAGAGCCAGCATCATGACTGTAAAGCTTTAACAATGTTCTGCAGGAAACCTTCAGCCCTGTCAGTCATGTGGAGGTCATTTTGACATACCACTGACCTAAACATTGCTCTGATCACATCAGCCCCATTGTAGAAATAGTATCACCTGAGGTTTATGATTGTTTTCAGTCAAATGTTGCTGCTTACCTCAGTGAACGTTTGTTTATGGTCTGAGAGACTGGTTTCAACTGGTTTAACTCCTGGAAGTTTCTTTCATTTTACAACAGTTAGTGTTCCTTACAGGGAAACGTCAACCACCTTATTAACTGCATCAAATGCTTGGCTGATGTTGCCCCATGAGATTTTCCAAGAGTTAAGAGTTTTCAGAATTTTATAAATTCCATCCATCCATCCATCCATCCATCCCATTTACCTGCTTCTTCCTTTTCGAGTTGCGGGTGTCACTGGTGCCCATGTCCAGCAGCCACTGTGCTCCATCTCACAACAAGTTAAGTCTGCTGGAAGGTGACCTGATGATGTTATGGCTGATAGGAGTATAATCAGAGGGTTCTGGTGAAGGGAAGCATGTCAGAAGTTCTTGTCACAAATACAGGGACTCCCCAGGGTTGTGTTCTCTCACCCCTTCTTTTTATTTTGTATAGAGACAGCTGCAGGTCTTTCCTGGTCAAGTTTTCTGATGACTCGGCACTCTGTCATCAGAAAACTTCTTCAAGAAAACCTCTTCAGTGTTCAGTCAGACCACGGAGGTGCCCTACCTGCTTCTGTGAACTGGTGTGAGGACAGTTCATCTTAATGTCTCTAAGACAAAGGAGCTTGTGGTGGGTTTTAGTTACAATAGAATACCTAAACCCAGCTTTGTTCATGGAAAAGGTGGACATAGTGAACGCAAAAATATTTGGGAACTATTTTTGATTCCAAATTAAAACTTAACTTGAACTTTGTGTATTGTCAAGCGAGGTGAGCAGAAAATTCATTTTCTGAGGGAACTAAATTCATTTAACATCTGTAAGGAAATTATTATTATTATTATTTTTTAGTTGTTTATTGAAAATATTTGAACTGTTTCCTTTATTTGTTGGCTTGGTGGTCTGTCGGTAAAGGATAAAATCTGCCCTCAGAGCATCGTTAAGGTTTGCTCCAAAATAATTGGGGTCCAGCAGAGGAACCTCAGTACTTGTGGGAGAAGCAGGTCCTTTGCAAAAGCAAAACACTAGTTTCCCGACGGAACCACATCCTGTCTTGTGAATTTATACTGATGCCTTCAGGCCGGCGCTTTATAGCACCATGCAGGAAGACAAACAGACTGTCTCACTCTATTCCTTCTGCCATCAGGCTGCTGAACCTGGATGGCAGCTCTGAGTTACTCCTACAGCTTCCCCACAAAGTGGCTGAATTGCGATGCTGATTTCTGTTGGTGTGTTACTGTGCAATATATATTTTAATACTTTTAATGTTTGTTGTTGTTGCTTTTAACTATATGAGCATAAGTATGTGTGTGTGTGAATCTGGAAACTGCCAAACTGAATTGCCTTTTGGGGATAAATAATGTATCTGAATCTGAAATAAGAAAAATGCTACATTCTAAACCTATGTAGAAAAGACACAATTCCACCAAATTGGTCAACCACAGCTCTTTTAATTCTTAACAGCGGTTGACATTTCAGATATGATGTGTTTGTTAAGCTTCTCAAGGCCAACAGTTGATGCTTTTACTCTACCATGTAACGCCGAGGCTTAACTCATGGCTACACTCGTGAATCAGTCCATTGCACTTCTTCACAAGGTCTATGTTGATTCTCATTTGTTTGTATTCAAGTCCATCTTCTGTTACAGAAAAAAAACCAGATACCACATAGAAAGGAAGTAACGCTCATGCTGTGATGTTTGTAGTCTTCATGGAAGTGTCTTGATTTTAGTGTGAGAGGAATATGGAGAGGCTTGCATTCTCTGCACTCTTCAGGTTATTTACCATTCATAACTTCATTTCATTTTATTTATGTTCACATTGTTTTCTCTGTATTTTTTATTCTTTATTGCTTTTGCTTTGATTACCAGTCAGATTAAAACACTAGAGACTGGGAGAGACAGAAAAGGCTGAATGTTTCCAGATTAATTTTTTTACTTGTTTCTCCAACAAATTAAAGTATTTTTTATAAACAAATAAATAATGCAACCAAAACCCAAATCTTTGAAAAATGATTTGTCAAAATAAGTGGAGAACAACAGATAGCCACCCTCGCCCCACCCCCACAGCCACGACTGTCTCTCTCACTCTGTATCTCTATCTGTTCACAGGGGACATCACTCAGAAGGGTTATGAGAAGAAGAGGTCCAAGCTAATCAGGGCATATGCTGGAGGTAATTTAGCTAAAATATTCCCATACGGGTACCGGAGCATCGATCTGGTATCATGACAAATCTAGTTGTGTTGACAGTGTACTCTATTGATTCAGTCTTCAGCTGCAGCCATTAGTAGATGTAGGTTAGTGCTCCCTGGAGCTCAGCTTGGGCCTGCTCCTCTGAATCTATCGGATCAACATGTAGTCACTCACTGCAACCAAAACACACACACATCCATCACACACCCTGGTTCCCCTTGTCATGCACAGGCTTAGCAATAATGGGTTACAGGATACTGAAGGATGTTCTGTCAGAGATACAACTACCACACGTTTCTGGTTTGTTTCTTTTGATTATTTTATGTTGGAAAGTCAGAAAAATCTAATTTTTCTGCATAATCAAATCACCTCCATTTTTGTTTTTCCTTTTGGCACTTTTATTTCTCGCTTTTGTCAATCGTTTATGTGCATGTCTGTGTGCGTGTGCATACGTGTGCGTTTGTCCGCTTGCTTACCTGCCTGCTTCTGTAGGTATGGAGGGGCCAATGTCTCATCGGGCCCCGCTCGGCCCTCCTTCTGCTGCCCGTTTCCACCGGCGGAGAACCTCTGGCACAAGAGACGAACGCTACCGATCAGGTATAGATGTCACACTGGACAGATACTTACAGGCAGAATAAAGAATATAACTGTACAAATGTTCTCAGCCTACTGATATAAAATTAATGGTAAGAACTCACCACAGTTAAGCTCTGCGGATTAATAAATTAACTCCAGTTGTAAAAAATTCAGTCCTTACATTAATGCAGAATTTGTTCACAAGTTTTTAAATGAGATGCATTTTGTGTCATTACTTTTCACTTATTTCTGATATATTTTGATTAATGAATAATAATTATTATTTTTAATAGAGGTCATTTACATGATGTGGTTGAAACTTTTCTTTCGTCAGTCTGGTTAGCCCCTCTACCACCACTTTACTCCATGTTCAACAAAGTTGCACAAAGATGGCTGCCTCTTGGACGTGGAGGGGAAGCAAGGCTCACAGCATTGGTGCAGGGTTTAAACTGTTTTACCATGGTGTGGACAGAAAGAGAAATGGAGTAGGGGTGGTCCTCAAGGAGGAGTTGGCAAATAATGTAGTAGAGGTGAAAAGAGTGTCAGATAGGGTGATGTGTCTGAAGGTAGAAGTAGAAGGTCTGATATTGTCATTGGTTATGTTCCACAGGTTGGTTGTGAAGTGGAGGAGAAAGATGTGTTTTGTAAAGATCTGGATGAAGTGATAGAGAGTATTCCCAGGGAGGAAAGAGTGGTGATCATAGCAGACCTGAATGGACATGTTGGTGAAGAGAACAGAGGGGATGAGGAAGTGATGGATAGGTTTGGTGTTAAGGAAAGAAACCAAGAAGGACAGATGGTGGTGGATTTTGCCAAGAGAATGGACATGGCTGTAGCCAACACCTATTTCCAAAAGAGGGTGGAATATAGAGTGACCTATAAGAGTGGAGGCAGGTCGACTACATTCTGTGTAGAAGAGGAAACCTGATAGAGATTGGAGACTCTAAGAGTGTGGCAGAGGAGAGCATGGCCAGACAGCATTATATGGTTGTGTGTAGAATGATTGTTGTTGTGAAGAAGAGAAAAATAGTAAAGTCAGAGAAGACCAAATGGTGGAAGCTGATGAAGGAAGAATGTTGTGAGTTCAGAGAGGAGCTGTTAAAGGCTCTGGGTGGTAAGAAAGAGCTTTCAGATGACTGGGCTACTACAGCATCAGTAATTAGAGAGACAGATAGGAAGGTACTTGGTGTATCATCTGGACAGAGAATGGATGATAAGGAAACCTGGTGGTGGAGTAGTGAAGTGCAGGAAACTATTCAAAGAAAGAGGTTAGTCAAGAAGAAATATGACAGTGAGAGAACTGAAGAGAGAAATGGGAGTGAGATGTGATGTAGAGCAAAGAGTGGGGCATATCAGAAGGCATTTGATGAGTTGTGAGGGAGGAGGGACACCAAAGAGGATGAGAAGGACTTGTCTTGATTGGCGAGACAGAGGGATCAGGCTATTAAGAATGTGCAGCAGGTTAGGCTTGTTAAAGATTGAAACAGTAATGTTCAAGTGAGAATATGATGGGAAGGAGTGCTTTGGGGAGCTAATGAATTAAGATAATGAAAGCTAAAGAAGAGTAAAGGTCATCAAAACTGGAACAGGAAGTGGGAAACAATTGTTTGGGTGACATTCGTAAAGCTCTGAAAAGAATGAAGAAGGCTGTAGGACCAGATGACATACCAGTGGAGGTTTGGAAGAGAAGTGAAGGTTTGGAGAGATGGCAGTGAGGTTTTTGACTCAAATATTCAACGGCATATTTGAGGGTGAGAAAATGTCTGAGGAATGGAGAAGAAGTGTTCTGGTGCCCATTTTTAATAACAAGGGTGATGTACAGAGTTGTAGCAGCTACAGGGGAACTAAGTTGATGAGTCACACAATGAAGATCTGGAAGAGAGTTGTGGAAGCAAGACTTTGACGTGAGATGACTTTTTGTGAGCAGCAGTATGGTTTCATGCCAAGAAAGAGCACCACAGATGCCATCTTTGCTTTAAGAATGCTGATGGAGAAGTACAGAGAGGGTCAGAAAGAACTCCATTGTGTCTTTGCAAATTTAGAAAAAGCATATGACAGAGTGCCGAGGGAGGAGGTGTGGTATTGCATGAGTAAATCTGGAGTGGCAGAAAAGTATGTTAGACTGGTACAGGACATGTATGAGGACAGCAGGACATGTATGAGGACAGCAGGACAGTGGTGAGATGTGCTGTAGGAGTGACAGATAGCTTCAAGGTGGAGGTGGGAGTGCATCAAGGATCATCTCTGAGCCCCTTCTTGTTTGCTCTGGTGATGGACCAACCAACAGATGAAGTCAATCAAGAATCCCCATGGTCGATGATGTTTGCAGATGACGTTGTGATCTTTGGAGAGAACAGGGAACAGGTGGAAGAGAACTTGGAGAGTTGGAGGTATGCACTGGAAAGAAGCGGAATGACAGTCAGCCGTAGTGAGACAGAGTACGTGTGTGTGAATGAGAGGGAGGCCGGTGGAACAATGAGGCTACAAGGAGCAGAGGTCACAAAGGTGCAGGACTTCTAGTACTTGTTGTCCACTGTCCAAGAAAATTAGGAGAGTGGTAAAGAGGTGAAAAGAGAGTCCAGGCAGGATGGAGTGGATGGAGAAAAGTTTCAGAAGTGATTTGTGACAAAAGGGTGTCAGCAAAGATCCAAAGAAACATTTACAGGATACTGGTGAGACCAGCTATGTTGTATGGTCTGGAGACAGAGACGTGGACAAAAAGACAGGAGAAAGAACTGGAAGTGGCAGAAATGAAGATGTTGAGGTTCTCCTTAGGAGTGATGAGGATGGATAAGATTAGGAATGAGATCATCAGAGGTACAGCACAGGTTGAACAACTGGGAGATAAAGTTAGAGAGGACATACTGAGATGGTTTGGACATGTCCAGAGGAGGGACAGTGGGTATATTGGTAGAAGGATGTTAGAAATGCAGCTGCCAGGAAAAAGACAAAGAGGAGATATATGGATGATGTTAGAAAGGACATGGAGGTAGTTGGAGTGAGGACAAAAGATGTAGAGGACAGAGTGAGATGTTGGAGGATGACTCGCTGTGGAGACCCCTGACGAGTGAAAAGCCAAAAAAAGACAAAGATCATCAGTTCACATAGCATCAGCTGCACAACTAAACAAACAAACAAACCGTTAATCTCTGCCTTTGCTTGGGTTCTCGTCATCTTCCATGTAATTACAAATCCCCTTCATGTCCAACTATGTGTCCAGGTTTTTATATACCTTCAGGATTTCTTTTGTCAACTTTCTAACCTCAGAACTGGGTTCACATAAGAATGAGAAATCTTGATTTCTGATTTCATTTTAATCATCATAGTCCACCTATTCTTTGTTAGATAGTAAGTATTAGAGTCAAGCAAATAATTTATGATGATATTTCCTTGTTATAGTAACAAACCTACAACTGGTGGTAGCAGCCATGTTGAGTGTTTTCCCATTCACAGTTAAATGGGGAGTGATGTGGAGGTGTGGGTGTGCAAACAGCCATGTGGGTGACAATTACATGAGCACACAACCCATATGTAAAACCTAATCTATAAACAGATTGCACCATTTCTTCAAAAGCAATAAGTAGCTTTGTAAATTGAATGTTCTAGTTGTTTAAATGCTTTCAGTTCAGGGCACTTAGCTTTCAGGACTTTAATGGGACTTCATGTTCATTTTATCTTAGACTTCAATTTGCATAATTGACAGTTGAAAAACAAATACATTTGATCACATTTTATCTCTGTTCAGCCCTATAGTCATCGTCCTGTCTCTAAAAGGAAAAATGGCTAACATCTGAAAGCCTGACAAGTAAAAACAACAGCTTATAAGCTACATACCTTGCATTAGGTGTTCAGAGAATAATCTTACATTACATAATATTACTACATTATACAACTACTGTTAGAAGTGACTAATTGATTGTCTGGCAAATATTAAAGACAACTTTGCCATTTTTTTCAAACAATTTGCTTAAGCCACACTTTCGTTGCAAAAACTCGGGCATATTTGAGGGCAGCACAATGTTGATGCACTTCATATTACACCCTTTTGTCCATCAATGTCCCAGTATTGGTTTGCCATTCATGACAAGGGCACACCCTAAAGAAAGTTGATTTAAACATTATACTAACCTTTTAAAAAGAATGACGTGCACTGGAAACTGGAAACACTGGTGAGTCTTGCTTTATTAGTGGGCAAAAGTTTATTCTAAATAGATGAATCACTCATGTTTGGAGCTGCGGTTATAGCAAGCTTCCAATGAACTGTAGAGCAGGTAACAATGGGTACAGATCTGCATTGAGCCCTAGAGAGAAGTTACTACAGCACATGAAATAATGGATTTTTACTTTTTATTTTGTAGATTTTAATTTGTAAAAATAAACTGTTACAATCAGCATTCACAAATAAACATTAAAAAAGCGTTTCAGTGTAGACAGGAAGCATTTTGCTCCGTTTTCATATGAATGTGTCTTTCGTCTCTGTCTCTCAGATGTCCACACGGAGGCGGTGCAGGCTGTGCTGGCACGCCATGTAGAGAGGAAGATGGCGGTGCCCATGCCTTCCAAAAGACGTTCACTGGTGGTTCAGACCTCTATGGATGCTTACACACCCCCAGGTGCCAATACACAAACTGAACTCCTCACCTGTTCTCACTCTACACCAGGAATTATCCTCCACCTCATCATAATCTATAGTGTAGGCCCACTACTGGATTATGTCTGCTGAGGATTACCTTTTTATGATCTGGTTCATTTAAATTCTAAATTTAGCATGGCTGAAAGCAGCTTTTTCTAAAGGGTGATTCACAGTTTTCCTCATTTACACAAGCGTACAATCTGTACTGGTGTACACCGTTCAACAGGAAAAACATTCGGACTGTTTTCGCCCTCTTCATCTCGAAGCACTCAGAGCAGAGACGCGCTGAAAACAAATCACATGCACACAGCCATCACTGATCCCACTGTCGCTGACAGTCCCTCGCACCGCGCCCCATCCTCCCCTGGGACCTTTGTAGTTAAAATTTTACTTTGTATTAAACGTGAATGTATTCGAAGCGTCGTCATGTACAACTTGCGTACAAGTCGTACGTTGTAAAATTTTTAAAAGCACGTACAAAAGTGGAATGCCAATAGTTTGACCATAGTACTAACATCCCAGAGACAATGTGTGCACTGCAAAGGATGCTGGGTAGTCTTGTGACAATTATGTGTGCAATGTTTCCGACGGTTTACGATGTTTCTGATTGTGGAAAAGTTTTTATTTTTTTTGTAAATATCCCGTTCATGTTTGCTTTGGCATTTATGTAAACAACCACCATGAGGTTTTTCCCGGTATGTATAAGGCTCAAAGCACTTCCTGTTGGAGGGTGAAAATGTGTGCCAATAACTAGAGCCCGACCGATATGGACATTTTTGCTATTGTCAATACCGATATTGGGAGAGGAAGGCGACTGCAGATAACCGATATAACGGTTGATTATTATTTTTTTTAGCTTTGTCCACCCCCCAAGAATCTAAGTAAACAGCGAGTGGAGTAGCTTGTTTATTTAGCGCAGCTGTTAGCAACCATGAAGCTAAGCTAATCAGATCCACGCTATACCTAGACCCACAGTAGGTTTAGAAGTGGATCACTGGTCATAAAAACAGTCTTCCTAATGTGTGGTCACATTTTCTATCTTCCACTGTTCCCCATAAAGTTATCAAGTGAGGTCCAAAAATATAAATTAAACAAAGAAACGCCGTTCTCTGTTCATTGTTTAAACAGTCAGTCATATATGGTGAAGGTCTAATTAATTTTAACCGCAGCGGTGTTTATGTTTCTTTGTAGAGAAGTAAATATTTCAGACAAACTATGCATTTAATTGTGGACAAGGATAACATTACCAACACTGAAAAATTTAACCTCTACGTTAGATTTATTGTTCTGGATAAAGTTTTACAAGGCAACAGCCTTTTTTTTTTAGGTTATCTAAACGTTAGTTTGCTAACTTGAGAGGCATGTAGCTAATGACAAGTGGGTTGGACGATTGAAGAGAATTTATTATTGTTGATTTATTTTACAGATCAGTTCAAATAAACTTACCATGATCTGTTCAGCAAAATACGCTGAAGCTCGCTGCTTCGTCCGCGCTGAAAGTGAAACCTAATGGCCATGACTTGAAAGTAGTTTTCATGCGCCCTCTGCTGGATACATTGTCCAATTACAGCTGGTTCCAGCATTTGCAGCATGCTTGACCTGGAATTAAAACAAATATATTTTGTATGCTTGTAAATATGTTAAAATCTGTGTGTCACCTTACGTGAGTTGTGTTTGTCTGATTTTTAGTTAAAATTTACCCCAGAAAAGCAGCCCTCTGCACAGACAGGATTACACTTGAATATCAGCTTTCTCAGACTGGGACAGGAATGCTCATCCCAGCAAAAACTGCAAACATGCACATTCCCTGTGGCTTGCAAACCCACTGACAGCGTCTCAGAAAAAAACAAAAAAAACAATCAAATGCCAAAGAAACCTGTAAAATTTGCAGCCAGTCAAATTACCCGGCAGCAGTCTGCCTGAAAGCAGAACCAATACAGATTATTTGTATATTTTCAGTGTTTGGCTCATTCTGCATAAAGAGAATCCAGTCTGAGAGGCAGTGGAGTTGACCTTCACCTCCAATAGGAGCTCATTTGATTGTTCATAATCAGCGCTGATGGAATAATTTTAGTGCGGATTAAATTTTAGTAAGGGAAATAAATTACTTTGCTAATTTGCTTCTTAACCTTTGATAATTTTCTCAAGTGAACTTGACATCTCCTGAAATACCCGTGTAACCTGAGTATTAAACATTGATTGTTCTGACAACTCTGTTATGTTGTTTAAATTTAAATCTTCTGCTCACACTGATTGTTACCCGGCCTCGTCTGCCTGTGTTAAAATGATTAGCTGTTGCTTAAAGAAACAAATTCAGTCTTCTCTTCAACGTGCAGCCTGAAGCTTGTTGTCAGTAAATTGGTTCTCGTGGCTCTTGCACAGAACAGCCACAAGAACCAATTTACTGATCATTGGCATTTTGTGTCCAAAGGCTCTTGAGCTTGTTGCCTGGGTCACTCAAAGGTCACAGAACTGCAGTGATTAAAGCAGTGAAAAACACTCAACGATGAATGCATTTTTAATATAATGAAGCTCCGATGTAGAAAAATAATAATACTGCTGAGGGCTTTTCAAAGTGCATGACACATCAAATTCAGCATGGAAAATAATTTTTAAAAAGTTAGCACAGCAAAAGTTCAGGTTCAAGTTTATTTATTGTCATTCGCATCACATGTGGTACATGATGTGGAACGAAATTGTGTACTCAAGGTCCCAGTTATATCCAAAAATAGCAAAAATATAAAGTAACAGTATATAAGGAACTAAGATAAGATAAGATATACGCTTAACGAACGCCAAACGGTGCGCTAAAAGATCTAAGATATATGCTAAACACTAAAAATGTAAAATAATATGGTGCAGTAAACAGCAGCCCAAACATGAGTCTGCAGTGAGCAGATGGGTATGAATGAATACAGCAGCATGAGATAGTCAGCAGCATATATAGCAGCAAAATATACTTTATATACTTGGTATTTTTGGGTGTAACTGGGACCTTGTATACACAATTTCGTTCCACCTCATGTACGATGATGCAAAAGGCAATAAATGACTTGAACTTGAAGCATGAGATCAAAAGCAGGTAACAAATAATGGATGTAAAGAAATTCTCAAAAATTACATTAATAAGATTAAAGTTTTGAAACTGGCAGCAGGATGCTTTAATTTATTTTTGTTTGCAATACTGTCAGTGAAGTGTAACTATGATGGTGAGCCTTCCAGTGCATCTTCTTTTAATCTTACATGCTTGTTAGTTCGCTTTAAAAGATACAACTTGTGTCACAACACAACTACCAAAATCCTCTGGTTCTTGCACAGGAACTAAACACCTCCACAAAAATTCAAAGAGGTTCACTTCAAAGAAAGGACAATCCAGAGAGACTGCACACAAACTACACCCACATTGATTAATATCAACAATGTAGACGCACAAAATGGAAACTTGTGCCAAGAATACCATTTCCTAGTGTTACCCCAACATCTACCTGTGGTTAAAGTATTCTGTAACAAACGGGTCATCCCGTCAAGACAACGGTTAACTATCAAATGTGGACGAGTCCGTTTAGGTAAACAGATGCAACATCAATATGTTCATATGTAAAACTTATTTAGTCTGCAACAGTCTTCAGCAAACAATTAATTTAATTTATAAAGCCAATATCTCACTGTTGGAGAAAATATACGTCAGCTCACTCGTAAAGAACAGTACTCGACGGCAGAAGATTTTCAACCGCTATTTACTTGTAAGGTCAATTTTTCAGGACAGGTTACACAAATATACATAAAGTACACGCATGAGGACCGGTCGTGAGAATCTGCCCCGAGCTGCTTCCTCAAGTCGTTTTTATACCCTCATCAATTCAGCCGAGCTCACGGAGGGCAGGAGGAGTCCTTGAAGTGACAGATGCATGCTGCAGCCAGCTCCTCTTCCAGCTCTCTCTGCTAAGCCAAACATATGGTTCATGGGCAGAAAAACATTCTCAGCCATAGTAATAAAAACACCCACAACCTTTGAGCGACAGTTCCCTAACAGCTGTGACTGTTTGTGACTAGTTTGTGAAAGGTATTCCTGAAGAAGTCTTCAGAACATCTCAAAATGCTCACGGAGGTTCTCAGATTCCTTGTGTGAATCGCAGGGACTCGCAGGTTTAGGGAAAATTTGTTAAACATATTTTTGGAAATGCTGCAGTTCCAGGGGCTTTTGTTTGCCTCTTGAACTTGTCTCATTTTAGTTTCTGCAAATATTAGAACATCACATCAAAAACTGGATTGGGACACAGTTTGAACACTAAAATGGGATTATTATTATTAGACCTTTATTTATACAGGTTAGTTCCCATTGAGCCTCCAAGACTCATTTACAAGAGAGACCTGATTACATTTAACATACAGGCAGATGAGAAAAAGAGAACATGAGGATGGAGGAAGCCCCCCCCCCCCAAAAAAAAAATCCAGTCTCACATTATTTCCTGGCTGAGAAACTGTGTGAAAGGTGGAACAAAAAGACCTGGCAACGTAAAGCTGCAACATACAGTGACATCATAATACATTTATGCATATAGGTCTACAAAGCCAGTAAGTTATCCATAAACACTCTAGAGTTCCATTGTTCTGATAAGATGGTACAGTGTCTATCAGCATCGTGGTTCTGATAAGGCCACAGATGTCCTCGAGAGGGGCGGGGTGGGACAGGCAGAGCTTCTAGTTTATGTATCCTCCAGGAGCAATTTGCGATAAGTTGGCCTGTCCAAGGCCAGCGAGGAGGCCAAATTCAGATAAACAATTGTTTGGGCCACCAGACTCTGTTTTCTGTCTGCCTTCAAGTTCTGCTGGTACATCTCATTGGTGAATCCAAACAGCCAGAATCAGTGGACATTCTGCCCGGTCCATGCTCAAGTTATTATTCTCCAAGACTGAATCCTTCATGCTGGCGAGTTCAAGGAGCAAGTGGCCTACGATTCTCAGAAATGGTGTCCAGCTTGCGGTTGAGCTCGGTTAGCATATGAGTTTGAGAGCTCGAGGCACGGATTAGTCCTCCACATAAGGCTGGCAGCTTTATCATGACCGAAACTGCTGCTGACGTCTTCCTAATTTGTCGATAACCGAGGTTTCCACCGATTCCAAAAAGCAGAAACCCTGTTATCATAAGTCCAATAATGTACACATCTTCTACATCCTCCACGGACAGCACAGATAGCAAGGGCGTCATAAGCATACGTAATGTGGGGGGGACACGCAGATGTGTGCAGGTGTGTGCATGAGTGCGTGTGTGCACGTGCGTGTGCGCGCACATGCAAAAACTGTTCACTAGTGTACAAAAAAGCAGCATTCCACCTAGATTTCCTTTAATTTCACACATTTAAAACATGTTTCTGACCAAGTTTGTGTAAATTCAGCTGTGGGTTTGAAGACATTTTAACTTTAATACACTTTAATACAGAGCATCAGATCGGCACTATTTGTGTTTATAGAGAAATAAAAAACATCACCACTGGACTTTTTTACTTGTGTTCAACACGACTCATCTAAATGATGTTTCTCATGAAGCTTGAGGACAATAAGGTGTGGGGTTTTAAAGACATTTCAACTACAATGCACCTGAACACACAGCGTCTCTTACACCTGCAGCGTCTCACAGCGTCACAGTTACTGCTGAGATAACATGCTACAGACGTAGCGCTGCACTTCTCTCCTCCTAACATGTAAATATGTTTATGATCAACCCCCTGGTCAACAACTGCCCGCACTAAGCTGCTAAACTGGTGAGCGAGTAACACAGAGGTGTCTCCATCTCCTCCACCTGTGCGCGTTTTCTGCCGAGGCAGGAGGAGACGCACACACACTGCAGGCTGCTACTTGGCTACTGGTGGAGAGTTGAAGGTAACCAGGAAAACCTGGAGTGGAGTTTTAGTGGTTTGAGTATTCTCCTATTAATCAAGTGGAATAGATTTGTTCATGAAGAAAGAGAAACTGGTAAGAGAAAGGGTAAGAGCAACCATCTTCGTCGAAGGTGAAAGCGAGAATGAATAAAAGATTAAGACTAAGATCAAATTCAGTTTCATTCCTTCGCCCTACCAATAAGTATGACCCCTCTTTAATAGGACCACGTGACTCAATTTCAAACACTAAGAATTTACTGAGACTACAAATGAAAAGTTGCCTATTTTCTCATCATTTGAACCACCAACTAGCCTACAGCTGCTGCTCAGTGACATGCTGCCCTAAGCAAGACCAGCAAAAATACCAAATGTAACGCATCGTAAAACACCTGACTAGACATGGCAATGATTTTTTTAAACTGTATTTGCTAGCGCAGCTCACATTGTTGTGTTAGACATGTGCCTCTGAAAAATGTGCTGTCTGCAGGACCTAGTATAGTATAGTCCTACTACTTTATCAAAAACATCAAACTAATCCAACAGAAGGATTGGGACCCCCTGACTTCCCAGTTTAAATGCTAAAATGAGACGCTGGATAAGTCTGTATTTCATTTCGCCTCATTCCTCTATCAATAAGTTCGGGCTCTAGGACTATCTTGGACTACAGAAACAATGTTTAGCACAAATTATAGTTGCCACAGAAACAAGTTATTGATATTATACATGCTAACCAGCACTTGCCTACACTACAACACACCAGCATTTGTTTGCTGTCTATCAAACACTAAATTATCAATCCCAGGTGGTGAAGACAGCTTTCTTACACGTTTTCTTTTTGCAGCAGACACCCATTAAAAGCTGTCTTTAACTCTTGCAACAACTGAGAACTAAACATTAACCTGCGCCCACATACTTGTTTGAAACCTGACTTGTCTTTTTACTTGAAAGGAATCAACTACAACAGGATTACTTGATAACTTGAAGACTTATCAGCTTTTTAAATTGGGTGTACCATTTTCCCTGGGAATATTTCTTAGGCCTTGTGACTATGAATTAAGAATCAATGTGACACACAGGATTTTTGAATAGGAAGTAATACTGAGAGATGTAACTGGGCCTCATTAGTATTAATTCTGTTTCCATGAGTATTGATTTAAGTTAAAGCAAACACTTCTCCTTAACAGTTGAATTCATTTATTGTAGTCATAAGGTTTTCTTTTGACAGATGTGTCTGTTGCATTTTGTGTTTGCTGTGTAAAAATATTTTCTTAACAAATAACGTAAGCGTCTGACTCTCACTAGGTCTGTCCCCGCTGTGCTCAGACTCGTCGTCGGGCTCCGAGGAGGAGGCGGGGCCGGGCGATGACATGTCGGGCATGGAGCACTGGATGGGCCGCCCCTCACAGCTTGGCCCCGCCCACCTGGGCTCCACTTCCTCCTCCTCTTCTTCCACGCAGAGCGGAGGCAGTGGAAACGCCGGGCGACTGGCTGACTCGTTGGCGCACTCCCACATTTCGCACTTGGCGCACGCGCACCTGGGGCACCCTCACCTGAGCCAGTCGCACCACCTGTCACAGTCGCATCACGGTGAGACCTGACTTCTGTAATGCGTCTGAGAATAAAAGAAGTAGGATGATTTTATCATGTTGAACCTCCATCTGTTGGGATGCAGAAAGGTTTTGGTCTAAGAAGTTCCTGAACAATAACGTAAATATCACAGTTGGTTCTTTTCTTTTACCCATCCTGCTTATTTCCAAGGATAGTTTTTATGTAATCCAAGGATTTTAAATTCAGTTAACTACATATATACCATATTTATGTGCCTGTTGGCTTTGTTTGCATCTCAAGTCCTTTCTCAAACTGATCAAAAGAAACCTGCTGTTATTTATCTTTTTATTGTAATTAAACTGTATTATTTGATGTTCAGCTGCATAACCAGCTGAGATGAATGGGAACTCCTGATTGCAAATTACAGCTGTCATTTCTAGCACGAACCTAAAGCCCGGCCCAGCCCGACCCTTATTTGGGCCGGGCCATAATATTGTGCTTAAAGTGCGGACTGGGCCGATCTCGGGCTTTGATTAGTTTTACGAATCATACAGCACAAAGAAAACTAAATAAGAATGCACGATATAAAATTTTGTTAATCTACTTATTGAGGAGGAGGCAGGTCCGACTGGCCGGTTGAAAGAGTTAAAAAAAAATGTCCAGTTATGCTCAGATGGATCAGCTGATCACCGGCCGCGCACGTCTCCCCACCTGCTGTCATCTAAAGCTAAATTAACTGATTTTACTTACTTAATTGTACCTTTCTGCAAGTTAATGCAGTTCATTCTCATCCCACAATTGGAGGGCCTGACCTCCATGGTCCAGTCTAAAATAAAAACTATCTCAGGAGGGCATGCCTGTCAAAAACTGCAGGATGTTGTGTAACGCCATTCCTTCATGCTGTTGGAGCTTACAAACTTGTCTCCTCATAGTAATGGTAGATACTATTCAAGTAAAGCTGCTTGTGTTCTGTAGTTGCCTCACGATAAGGGAAGGGAAAATTACTAATTCAACATGTTTGTGCCTTTGTTTCAATATTATTCTTTAAGCTTGTAAATATTTGTACAAAAACAGTAATATATTCAAACATTAGGGGAAGAAGTGTGTTACTGTCTGACAAACCCCACACCTCCAGAGAGGGGATGGATCAGAGCTGATCCAGTTTGTTTTCACTTCTTGTCGACCATCAGTCTGGAAAACATATCCTTTAAAAACATCTGGAATAATAAGCTTTTGATTCATAGTTTAACTTTTACTTTGTAGGTTTGCGTACATAAATGTTGCTGAATAGGTAGCATTATTTATTCATATTTATTTAACCAGGCAAATCACAGATTTATTTTGCAAGGAAGGCCTGGGCCTGAAGGCAACCCAACGTTAATAAACCACATTTAGCCTTAACTGCTCTCTACTCTGACGGATGTGAAACAAAACTACAGTTGTCCCTCGTTTATCACGGGGGATCCGTACCCTGAAGCCTCGTGATAAGTGAATAACTGCAAAGTACAAATAGAAGTACAAGTAGCAAGTAGTTGTTTATTTTAGTACCATATTTTCCACCGTAAATGTCGCACCACCCTATAAGTCGCATCAGTCCAAATATGTCTAATAAAGTGGAAAATCCATAAATATGTCGCTTCGTCATATACGTTGCATCTATTGTGCGTCACTGCTGACAACCTGGAAATGTGGGCCGAACCAGGGAATGTGGGCCGAACCAGGGAATGTGGGCCGAACCAGGGAATGTGGGCCGAACCAGGGAATGTGGGCTGAACCAGGGAATGTGGGCCGAACCAGGGAATGTGGGCCGAACCAGGGAATGTGGGCCGAACCAGGGAATGTGGGCCAAACCTGGAAATGTGGGC